TTGGCTTTGAAGGAAAAAATAGAAGAGAGAAGGCTTATAGACCGATACAGGGCTTTATACCCCCAAAAGAAAGAATACACATTCTTCTTCAGTGCGCATGGAAAATTTTCCAAAATGGACCATGTACTAGGTCACAAAACATACCCCAATAGAATCAGGAAGACAGAAATAGTATCAACAATCTTTTCAGACCACAAGGCACTGAAGACAGAAGTGAATCACACAGAGACAAGGAAAACCAAATAAAACACCTGGAAATTAAACAACGTATTGTTGAACAACGAGTGGGTCAGGAAGGAAGTCAAGGACGAAATTAAAAGATACCTGAAAACAAATGAGAATGAAGACATGAGTTACCAGAACCTATGGGATGCAGCTAAAGCTGTGTTAAGGGGAAAATTTATAGCTCTGCAGCATTTCTCACAAAGGAAGAAAGGAGCCATATAAGCAACTTGACTTCACAGTTCAAGATCTTAGAAAAGGATTGACAAAAGGAGCCAAATCAGGCAGAAGGAACTGTAGCACTGTCCTTCCGTTGTTCATCGATTTGCTTGAGCGGACCCAGTAACGTCTCCATTGTGAGACTTGTTGTTACTGTTTTTGGCAAAGCAAATAAGTCACAGGTAGCTTGCCAGGCTCTGCCATGCGGGCGAGACACTCTCAGTAGCTTGCTGGGCTCTCCAAGAGGGCTGGAGGAATCAAACCCGGATCGGCCAAGTCAGCTGCGTGCAAGGGAAACACCCTACCACTGTGCTATCGCTCCAGTCCAATGGCAAAAACAGTATTGTCAATCCTGGGGGACAGAGATAGTGCTGAGTTAAGGCACTTGCCTTGCACGCAATCAACCCTGCTTCAATTCCTGGCACCCTATGGTCCCCTGAACACTGCCAGGGGTCACTTCTGAGCACAGATTCAGAAACTGACTCTATGTGCTGTCGGTTGGGGCTGCAAACCTGTAATTTTTTTTTTTCAAATGAAATAACTTACAAGATCCGATTCAGCGGCTGCTCAGTGCCCCAGAACGAAAGAGATCATAAAAGTTAGAGCAGAAATCAACAACATGGAAACCAAAAAAACAATCTGAAAGACCAACGAAACCAAGAGCTGGTCCTTTGAGAAAATAAATAAAATAGATAAACCACTAGCAAGACACACAAAGAAAGAGAGAGAGAACCCTAATAAACCGAATCAGAAATGAGAAATGTTCTGTTATCACAACAGAAATCAGAGAAATTCAAAAGATCATCAGAGACTACTTTGAAAGACTATATGCCACGAAACAAGAGAACCTAAAAGAAATGGATAAATTCCTGGATTCCTATAATCTCTCAAGGCTGAATCAAGAAAATCTAGAGTACCTGAATAGACCTATTAACATCAAGGAAATTGAAACTGTAATCAAAAGTCTTCCCAAAAACAAAAGTCCAGGTCCAGATGGATTCACTAGCAAATTTTTCCAACATTTAAAGAGGACCTATTGCCAGTTCTTCTCAAGCTTTTCCAGGAAAATGAAGAAAAAGAAACTCTCCCAAATGGTTTCTATGAAGCCCATATCTCTCTAATACCAAAAGGAAACAAAGACACCACAAGAAAACTACAGGCTGATATCCCTGATGAACATAGATGTGAAGATTCTCAACAAAATACTAGCAAATAGAATTCAACAACTCATCAAAAAGATCATACACCATGACCAAGGGGGATTCATTCCGGAGATGCAAGGATGGTTTAACATTCGGAAATCAATCAATATACTGGAGCGATTGCACAGTGGGTAGGGCATCTGCCTTGCACGCAGCCAACATGGCCGACCCGAGTTCGATTCCTCCGCCCCTCTCGGAGAACCCGGCAAGCTACCGAGAGTATTCGATATGCCAGACACAGTAACAACAAAGTCTCCAATGGAGACGTTACTGGGCCCTCTCGAGCAAATATCAACAAAAGAAAAGATAAAAATCATAATGATGCTATCAATAGATGCAGAGAAAGCATTTGACAAGATCCAGCACCCGTTTATAATGAAAACCCATACCAAAATGGGTATAGAGGGAACTTTTGTCACTATAGTTAAAGTCATCTTCCACAAGCCTACAGCAAGCTTCATCCTCAATGGGGAAAAACTGATAGCCTTTCCTCTAAGATCAGGGACGAGACAAGGATGCCCACTCTCTCCACTGCTGTTCAATATAGTAGTGGAAGTATTTGCAATAGCGGTTAGGCAAGAGAAAGATATTAAGGGCATTCAGGTAGGAGAGAAAGAAATCAAGCTCTCACTATTCACAGATGATATGATACTATACTTAGAGAACCCTATAACCTCCAACAAGAAACTCCTAGAAACAATAGACTTGTATAGTAAAGTTGCAGGCTATAAAATGAATACCCAAAAGTCCATGGCTTTCCTATACGCAAATAGTGAGAGAGAAAAAGGCGACATGAAAATAACAATCCCGTTCACAATTGTGCCCCAGAAAATCAAGTACCTAGGAATCAGCTTAACTAAGGAAGAAAAGAAACTGTAAAAAGAAAACTACAAAACGCTACTTCAGGAAATAAAAGAGGACACGAGAAAATGGAACGATATCCCCTGCTCATGGATCAGTAGAATTAATTTTATCAAAATGGCAATACTCCCCAAAGCACTGTACAACTTCAATGTGATCCCTATAACTATACCCATGACATTCTTCAAAGAAATGGAGCAAACACTCTTGAAATTCATATGGAACAATAAGCCACCACGAATAGCTAAAGCAATTCTTGGAAAAAAGAAAATGGGAGGAATCAACCTCCCTAACTGCAAACTTTACTACAAAGTAGTAATAATTAAAACAGCATGGTACTGGAACAAAGCAGAGCTACAGACCAATGAAACAGGGTTGAATATACTGACATCTCCCCCCAAACATATGATCATCTAATGTTTGATAAGGGAGCAAGAAATGTGAAGTAGAGCAAGGAAAGCCTCTTTAACAAATTGTGCTGGCAAAACTGGACAGCTACATGCAAAAAAATGGGCTCAGATCTCTGCCTAACACCATGTACAAAAGTCAGATCAAAATGAATTAAAGACCTCAACATCAGACCGGAATCCATAAGGTACGTTGAAGAGAAGGTTGGCAAAACCCTCTACAACACTGAAGCTAACAGTATCTTCAAAGATGTCACGCCACTGTCCAAGCAAGTGAAAACAGAGATAGACAAAAGGGACTATCTTAAACTAAGAAGCTTCTACACCTAAAAAGAAACAGTGACCAAAATACAAAGACAGTCTACAGAATGGGAAAGGATATTCGCCTAATACCCATCTGACAAGGGGTTGATACCAAGGACATACAAAGTGCTGGTTGAACTCCACAAGAAGAAAACATCCAACCCCATCAAAAAATGGGGCGACAAAATGAACAGAAAATTTCTCAAAGAAGAAATCCGAATGGCCAAAAGGCCCACGAGAAAATGCTCTACATCTTTAATCATCAGGGAGATGCAGATCAAAACAACAATGAGATATCATCTCACACCATAGAGACACAGAGACTGGTCCACATTCAAAAGAAGAAAAGCAACCGTTGTTGGCATGGATGTGGCAAGAAAGGGACCCTCCTTTAATGTTGGTGGGAGTGCAGACTGGTTCAGCCCTTTTGGAAAACAGTATTGACGATTCTCAAAAAATTAGAAATTGAGTCCCATTTGATCCAGCAATTCCACTCCTGGGAATATATTCTAGAGAGGCAAAAAAGTATAGTCAAAGTGACATCTACACTTGTTTGTTCATTGCAGCACTGTTTACAATAGCAAGAATCTGGAAAAAACCTGAGTGCCCAAGAATAGAAGACTGGTTAAAGAAACTCTGGTACATCTACACAATGGAGTACTATACAGCTGTTAGAAAAGATGAAGTCATGAAATTTACATACAAGTGGTACTACATGGAAAGTATAATGCTAAGCGAAATGAGTCTGAAAGACAGGGACAGATATAGAAAGATTACATTTATCTGGGGAACATAAAGTAACAAAATAGGAGACTAACACCCAATAATAGCCGAGATAAGTACCAGGAGGTTTACTCCAAGGCTTGGAGGCCAGCTGCACATGCTAGGGGAAAAGGCAGCTCAGATAGAGAAGGGAGCACCAAATAAAGGGTGTTGGGAGGATCCCCCCAGGATGGGAGATGCATGCTGAAAGTAGACAATAGACCGAACATGATTGCTACTTAATGCTTCTTTTGCAAACCACAGCACCCAAAGAGAGAGAGAAAACAAAAGGGAATGCCCTGCCACAGAGGCAGGGTGGGATGGGGACTAGGGAGTGGGAAGGGTACTGGGATCAGCGGTGGTAGAAAATGGGCACTGGTGGAGGATGGGTACTCGATCATTGTATAACTGAAACCCAAGCACAAAAATTTGTAAGTCTACAACTGTACGTCATGGTGTTTCACTAATAAAATTAAAAAAAAAATAAGAGAATCATTTTAAGTTGTACTGGTTGATCCACATAACCACTAAACAGCCTTTACAAAATAACACCTCTGCCTTTATCATACCATACTTCAAAAGAGACAACTGTTCTATATAGAGATAAGACGACGTGGACACTCAATTACAACAGAACCAAAGGTACAATTAAAGGAAAACCACCAGTTTTTGATCCATTAGAAATCATGTTTATGGTGGGTTGAAGAGAAGTACAACAGGTAAGCTTTTTGCCAATTGGCTGATGGGGTTTGACTCCCGTACTCCAAATAGTTCTCCAAACCCTTTAGTAATCACCCTTGAGTACTGAATGAGGAGTAAGCCCTGTGCAGTACCAAGTGTCACCCAAAAATGAGAAAGAAAAAAAAAACCTAATGCTTGTGGTAAACTTACAACTACCAAATATAATCCAATTATTTGTCCCCATGAACTAAATGAGAAAATAAACCAAAAATCTAGAGAGTATGGCACACAAACAAGAATTCTCATGTATTTGTTCAGTACCAGGTCAGTAATCAAATTATTACTATTAGAAAACAAGAGAATATTCTTGTTTATTAGCAAAGCAGTTACCATTTAATTGGTATCAAATTCTGATTTCAAAAAAACACTCTTTAGCTTTACAGATCTGTAATGTGTTGGGCCTAAATATTGCTCAAATGTTTCTAAGAAGCTGATTGTTCCCATGTAGAGAGAAAATATAACAAAATTATCAAGTCTAAAGTGATATGGGGGAAGTTTTAATCTGCATCCTACAGAGTTTTAACAAACCTGATTTTAAATTTCAACAACTTGGAGGCTTTCTGGCAAATAATTAATTTATAGAAACTCAGTCATATTTTCAATATGGACCTAAATGTCACTGTCACTGTTCTCCCGTTGTTCATCGATTTGCCAGAACGGGCACAGTAATATCTCCATTGTGAGGCTTCTTGTAACTGTGTTTGGCATATGGAATACAGACCTAAATGTAATTTAAGAAATGTTTAAGTAGAAGATAAATGAGTGTTTTATTGCCACACAATATAAAATGATTGGTTCTTGTGTATAAATAAGAACAAAAGACAAATCTCACCTTGTTGCTGAGAAAGTGAAGTGTCAGATTTATTTCTGACACGTATTACACGACTTGATACTGGCTTGTGTTCAACTTGCTCAAACTCTTGGTCTCTCTTTGGTTGATACTTAAAAATTAAAAACATAAAGTCACAATATTATTTTTAAACAACTTCAAATTCTACTTTATTTAAAAAAATTGAAATTTTATGCAAGCCTTCTAATTGCCTTTTGATCATTTGCTTTTCACTTCTATCAGCAAATGAGAAATGGAATATATATTGTAAAGGAAAAGATATTGCAAATAAAATTTTTAAATTTTGGATAACAAAGATTTTAAATATTCAAATATTTAAAATATTCATTTCTGTATAACTTCAAATCAGACTATATATATACACGATGGATTTAGACAGGATAAAAACTTAATTTGGCTGTAACTTCTCCTATATATTCATTTGCATAAAATGAACATTTGCATAATGCACTGCAATTTTCAAAGAGATTTTATATAGAGCAACAATCATTTAATTCTCAGAGTGTGCAATGGTATTGTTATCCTCCTTTTGTCATTCAAGAAACGCATATGCCATCATACATCCCAATCATCTTTCTTCTTTACCTATAACCTAATCAAATTTGAAAATTATAGTCGTTGAAAAATTCCTTCACAATCACAAACCACAAATTGTGATGAATGGCTGTTTTCTTTCTTCCATTTCCTGTTTTATGAAACTAATTATGAATGAGCCCTGGAAAATGACTATCAGATAGACTTTGTCAGAATTATCTTATGAAAAATACAAGTAGAGAAGAATTGGAAACACCCGTCATCCACATAAACTCCAATGGAATCATTCCAGCTCCTTTAGGCACCTACTTATCTAGAGGTAAAAATGAGTCTCTTTTGGCTGCAATAGTAATCACTAGCTTTAATACTGATATTTTAAGTGTGGAGCCATTAGTCAGATAGGCTCCTGCCTTGGAGGAAATGTTATTTTGTTGCCTATTCCTGAGATGTGTACTATGACTATCTTGCCTGGAACTTCTCTATTGGCTGCCTTCCTTTATGACAGTGACTAAGAGTTGATAGTGAAGAGTTAAATTGCATGTGTTTTAGCCTCTAGATACCTCAATTTCCTCATTCATAAAATGAGAACAATAATAACAACCACCTATTAAACTGCTATAAGGACTAAATGAATTAAAAATATAAAGAACTTAGATGGAACTATCTGGACCAAGTAAGTAACATAGACGAGTGATATTTTTATTTCTAGTCATATTTCTTTACTGAAGGCAATTTTCGAGGCCCATTCATCTAGTAACACTCCATAGTTTTATTTTAAAACAGGACAACACTGAAAGATTTGGCTCAAAGATCTACATGTTCTACATGGGGAAGCCCAGGTTAGATCCAAAAACCAAAACCAAAAATAAAAATACTCATTACCAACGACCTTTTTATCATTTGCCTGTGTTATCAGTAACTCAGTCACAGGTTATTGATACTGAACCCTCCAAAAAATGATAAAATGGTTCCAAAAAACAATATTTACTTATGTTTTGCTTTCATCCTCAACAGCACACACATTAGACATACTTACTGAATAAATTAAACCATAGTGGAAAATCCTTTGCTATTATGATACAAGACTATATTTAATAACATGAATATTTTTAGAGAAGATTCTGGAGAGCAATTATCCCATTCCTTCAGTAAACAAGATTGCATGGACCATTAGTTGATCCAAGTATGAAATTTCTTAGGCTGTCATAATACATTTGCAAATGTTAACATGGTAAAGAAGCTGAACACCTACTATGTGCAAATTTCTGAACGAGATATTGCACTAGAACAGATGTAAAAGTTAGCTATTAAAATAGGTGGCAGTCATCCGATACACAGTGCTTTTCATCCCTTGTTTATTTATATATTTTTTTTGCTTTTTGGGTCATACCTGGCAATGCACAGGGGTTTACTTCTGACTCTGCACTCAAGAGTTACTCCTGGTGGTGCTCAGGGGACCATATGGGATGCTGGGAATCGAACCCGGGTTGGCGGCGTGCAAGGCAAATGCCCTACCTGCTGTGCTATCTCTCCAGCCCCTATCCCTTGTTTATTTTTAAAAAATTATTGAATCATGGGGCTGGAGCAATAGTACAGCGGGTAGGGCGTTTGCCTTGCACGCGGCCAACCCAGGTTCGATTCCCAGCATCCCGTATGGTCCCCCAGCACCACCAGGAGTGATTCCTGAGTGGAAAGGCAGGAGTAACCCCTGAGCATCGCTGGGTGTGACCCCCAAAAAAAGCAAAAAAAAAAAGAAATTATTGAATCACCATGAGATATACCATTACAAAGCTGTTCATGATTAGGTTTCAGTCATACAATGTTCCAACACCCATTCCTCACATCAGTGTACATTTCCTATTACCAATGTCCCCATTTTCCCTCCCACTCCCTTCTCTGACCCCCAGACACTTTTCTTCTTTCTCTCTCTCCTTTTGAGCATTATAGTTTACAATACAATGTAAACTATAAATTCTCTAAATTATAATATAATTTACAAAACAATACAATGCCAGTGCTCCTGACAAGCACAGCGGCAGGGCGTTCGCCTTACAAGCAGCCAACACGGCCAACCCGAGTTCGATTCCTCCACCCCTCTCAGAGAGCCCGGCAAGCTACTGAGAGTATTCGATATGCCAAACACAGTAACAACAAAGTCTCCAATGGAGACGTTACTGGGCCCGCTCGAGCAAATCGACGATCAACGGGAGGGCCTTTACTTACTTACTTACTATTAGTGTCATCATTCTCATTTAAGCAACAACAACAACAAAAAAATTCCATACATTAATTTGGTACCTGAATATAGGTACTGAGAGGATCATCATGTTTGTTCCTTCACCTACTTTCAGCACACAGATCTTATCTAGTACAATCATTTCTACCTATCCATTGTCCTAGTGATCCCTTCTCTATCCCAACTGCCTTCTCCTCCAGCACTGGAGGCAGGCTTCCAAGCGTAGACCAATAAGTTGTTGTGTCTCATTATGGAGACATTAAGTCCTCGTATGAGAGATTACTAAGATGTTGTTACAGGGTAAGCCTTCTTTGTTTATGTTTTATTAATTGAGATTGGCTGCCTTCTCCCATTTGGTGTGCTCCTACTGGTTTATCAGTGTTGTAGCATTTCATCATCCCTAATTTAAAGAGGAAATTAAGCTTTAGGAAAAAGCTAAGTGGTACGGTCAAGGACACAGTTAGAAACCGGATAAATTAAGATTTGGATGCAGGCTTCGGTTAGTAAATAAAGAAGGCCTGCTTGGAGATTGCTCCATTCCAGAGCCGGTGCTCCTGACAATATATACTCTGCTAAGTTATTAGTGTCATCATTCTCATTGAAGTAACAACAACAACAAAAAATTCAATACATTAATTTGGTACCTGAAGAAAATCTTCACCATCTAATGATGCCTTAACATTATTTTCTTTTGCTGACAGTTGCGTTTTGGGAAGAGCAAGGTTAGAACTTGACTGCAACTCCAGTTCTCCCAGACTCATTGGGCCGTGACTAGCATCTGAGTCTCCAAAAATGGCACCTGTCACCAAACATATAAACAAGAAAATATTCATTTTAGAAAAAGAACAAATAGTTGACTAAAACTCAATATTTTTTACCTCCTGAATTAGAAGAAATAGTGTACTGAAATCCAAAACATCTAGTACTCACCTTATATGCAATTTAAAAAGTTAACAGAGAAGACAAAAAGTGCCTACATTCATAAATAAATCTAGAGGCTACTCTAAATTTGCAATCAAATAATAATTGTTCATGTAGTCCACACATAACCATTTCTCCTAACGCTTGGGCTTATTTTTTCTAACCATAAGAGTCAATAGAATACTTTCTATCTCAAATATAATCTTAATGAAAGGAAACTTCCTATGTAGAAAATGCTTTTCTACATAGTAGGCAAATACTTTTATTTATTTTAAATATTTTTTTGCAGAGGCCAGAGAGTAATACAGACAGTTGGCCACTTTTCTTGCAAGCAACTGACCTGTGTTTGATATTCAGCCCAGCATATGGTCCCCCCAAACCCTGCCAGAAGTGATTCACAAGCACAGTGCCAAGAGCAAGCCCTGAGCAATGCTGATTCTGACCCCAAAACAAGGGGAAAAAAATTAAGTAAATACAATACTTTCTTGAAAAATCAAATCCTCTTTTTTATTATAATGATATTTAAGTCAGCAAAAGACAAAAGCAAAGGGGGCTGGAGACATAATATAGTGGGAAAAAACCCTGAGCATAGCCAGATATGGCCCAACAATTAAAAAAAAAATAATACAAGAGCAAAGAGCTAAGTTAATGCCAGTGTATCTTACTGTACTTAACACTGCAAAGCACTTTCACATACATTATATAGAAATCTCTCATATGCAGTATTTCCCTTATTTTGATTCTCACAATCATTCTCTAAGGTTGACAGTACAAATACTATTATAACTGACTTCCACTGACAAAGCTAAGGTTCCATGGAAGATAGCTGCCTGAAAATTAGATAGGGAGACAGAGAGAAATTAAAATCCACATTACTCAACTCCAGATCAGTGTTCCTATTTCTTATTCTTGCTAAAAGATTCCTTTAAAAATTGTGAATTTTTTTGGTAATTGATGGTCACTTTTTCAAGAGAGCACTTTAAAATAGTACGTCTCATTTTGATTTTTAATCAATAAAAACAGACATGAAACATTTTAAACTAAATTATTTTATATATATTTCAGAGACTTTAAAACCCAGCTCCCAGAAGCGCGCGGCCGTGTGACATCTTATTATCTCATTCCTACTTTGGACAAACTGGCAGGGTACTGAATGTAACCTGCCCACACGGCAGAGTCTGGCAAACTCCCCGTGGCGTACCCAATATGCCAAACACCAGTAACAATGATGGGTCTCATTCTCCTAACCCTGAAAGAGCCTTGAATATGGCACTTTTAAAAAAATCTCAGGGCTGGATGAAGGAGACATTACTGGGGCCTGCTCGAGGCAATCAACGAACAACAGGATGGTCGTGATCGTGATCGTTTTATATAGAAAATACTATTTTAAAGAGTCCACAGACATTTTCCACTTAAAAGTAATCAGCTAATAATTTCTTAGGTATAGCAAATAATAACCCTGTTCTTTTATCTTATTAAGTGGGTTTTAAATAGAACCAAATATATACACAGTTTTAATTTTCATCTTCCCAGTATTCAGTCTATAAAAACAATTTTTCAGCGTTACTATCTGTTTTATTCTCATAAAATTATCTTGTATAATATAAAACTAATTTAAACAACGGTAATAAGATCCATAGTAAGAAAGGAATGGTAGTTAAAATAACTGTTATTCCAGGCATTAAATTAGACTATGTCCTGATGTTTCTTATTCTACACTTATATCACTTTTCCAACAACAAAATAAAAGAGACTGGGAAATGAATTAAAATAATTTTACATGAAATGCTAAAATTGGGTATAAAATTCTGAAAGAAAGGTTTTTGTACTGATTATATGGTTGTATACAAGAAAAATCAGTAAGGAAAAGTCAAGGATATGTAAGGATATGTAAGTCAAGGAAAAAAATTAAAAATGAGATGGGCTGGAGTGATAATCAGCGGGTATGGTACTTGCCTTGTATGTGACCAACCCGAGAACAATCCCCAGCATCCCACATGGTCCCCCAAGCACCACCAGTTGTAATTTCTGAATACAGAGCCAAGAGTAAGCCCTAAGCATCACCAGATGTAGACCTCCAAAAAAAAATTATTTAAAGGGGGACCAGAGAGATAGCTCGAGGTGTTCAGTACATAGTTTGCAGTTTGGAGGTCTTGGATCAAGCTGTGGTACTATCTGATCCCCAGAGTACAACCAAGAGTTACCCCTTAGCACAAAGCTGGGCATAAGGATGAACCAAGAAGATAGTTCGAAAGGTTGTAGCACATTCTTTTGCCTTGGGTTCAACCCTCAGCATCACATAGTCCGCTGAGCACCACCATGAGTGACCTCCCCAAGCATCGTGCTGGGTATGTACCACCCCAATAAATTGAACATGATTAAGAGAAGTTTGTATGTGACTAGAAACTAAATACATAAACCTCATATTTTTCTATATTGCAGCAATATGCTACATTATAAAATACTCTATACATTATAGCACATTTTTCCTAAAAATGAAAAAATAAAACTTTCAATGGTGACAAAACTATAAAGTAATTATGAATAAAATTTTAAAGGTGCAGAAAACAGCACAGTGCATAGGGCATTTGCCTTGCAGGCGGCCAACATGGCTGACCCGAGTTCGATTCCTCCACCCCTCTCGGAGAGCCCGACAAGCTACCGAGAGTATCTTGCCCTTACGGCAAAGCCTGGCAAGGTACCCATGACGTATTCGATATGCAAAACACAGTAACAACAAGTCTCACAATGGAGACATTACCGGGCCCCTTGAGCAAATCAGTGAACAACGGGAGGACAGTGACAGTGGCAGTGTATAAAATCTTCCTGAGGAGCATAAAACAAATTCTGAACAAACAGTAAGAATACTCTAAAAAACAGTCTTCTAATACTGGTATAACTCTAAGGTAAAGGTAAAGGCCCTCCCGTTGATCGTCGATTTGCTCGAGCGGGCCCAGTAACGTCTCCATTGGAGACTTTGTTGTTACTGTGTCTGGCATATCGAATACTCTCGGTAGCTTGCCGGGCTCTCCGAGAGGGGCGGAGGAATCGAACTCGGGTCGGCCATGTTGGCCGCTTGTAAGGCGAACGCCCTACCCGCTGTGCTATCGCTCCAGCCCTGGTATAACTCTATGATCATTTATATGGAATAAATCCCTGAGAACTGCCAAGGAAAGTATGAAAACCTGGAGAGGGGAGATAACTCAAACATAGAGCACATGCCTGGCACTTCCAGAAACTTAGGTTTGATCTCCAGCACTGCATGCCGGCCCCGAGCACTGTAAGAGCAGCCTTGGAAAGGAGGGGAGGGGAGGACTGAGCCTGAGCACTGCTTAGTGTGGCACACAGAAAAATATTATAAAAGGAGTATTTATTGACTTGTAATCTGATCATTCTACTTGCCATTCCTTTCAGTTTTACTGGACCAAGTAACATGAAATAAATTTATTATATGCCTGCTGGGCTGGAGCAATAGCACAGCGGTAGGTCGTTTGCCTTGCGCGTGGCCTATCGGCAGAGCCAGATTCGATTCCTCCGCCCCTCTTGGAGAGCCCAGCAAGCTACCGAGAGTATCTCGCCCGCACAGCAAAAGCCTGGCAAGCTACCTGTGGCATATTCGATATGCCAAATACAGTAACAACGAGTCTCACAATGGAGATGTTACTGGGCCCACTCGAGCAAATCGATGAACAATGGGAGGACAGTGCTACAGTGCAGTGCTATACGCCTGCCAAGACGGCAGATTGGGGAATGGGAAGAAACCTGGGAATATTGGTGGAGGGATTGGTGTGGAACATTGTATGCCTAAAACAACTCTATTATGAACAAGCTCCTAAATCATAGTGTCAATAAACTTTCCTGAAAAAAATCACAATCACAATCACAACCATCCTGTTATTCGTCGATTGCCTCAAGCAGGCCCCAGTAACGTCTCATTCGTCCTAGCCCTGACATTTTTTTAAAAAGTGCCATATTCAAGGCTCTTTCAGAGTTAGGAGAATGAGACCCATCATTGTTACTGGTATTTGGCATATTGGGTACGCCCCGGGGAGTTTGCCAGACTCTGCCGTGTGGGCAGGTTACATTCCGTAGCCAGCCAGTTTGTCTAAAGTAGGAATGAGATGATAAGATGTTGCGCAGCCACGCGCTTCTGGGAGCTGGGTTTTATAGTCTCTGAATCTTGGCCGTTGATGGGATTACACGGCGCCAGGGGGCCAGTTGGTGGGTGTGACCCCCGCCTACTGGAATTTGGAGGATCTAGAGCACAGAAGACACAATGGGGAGCAACATAAAACTCCATCAAATTTAAGGAATGGGGTCTGGAGAGATAGTGCAATGGGCATGCCATGAACACAGCTGACTTAGGTTCAATGTTTGGCATCCCATATGGTGCCCCAAGTCCAGGCAGGAGTGATCCCTGAGCACAGAGCCATGAATAAGTCATGAGCACCATCAGGTGCTTCCCCCATCCCGCAAACAAAACAAAAACCCAGAAAAAATTTAACAAAAAAAAAATTTAAGAGAAATCTGCCCGAACTGAAAATATAACAAACCATGAAGTCACAAGAGCTAACATATTTTAGATCATAAAAAATACAGAATAGAGCCAGAGTGATAGTACAGCAAGTAGGGTGCTTGCCGTACATACAAATGCCAACCTGGGTTTGATCCTGAGCACCTCATATGGTTCCCCCAAGCACCACCAGGAGTAATCCCTGAGTGCAGATCCAGCAGTAAGGAATTGAGCACCACTGGGTGTGACCCAAATAACAAAAAACAAAACAAAACAAAAAGGAACAAAAAGGAAAAGAAAAAGAATGTAGAATTAAAGACTTCATAAAAAAAAAAATCTCCATTTACAAAAATTTAATAAATTGG